ATCTCATACTTTGAGTTTCAATTTCTCATTTACCTGAGCATCATTTTTGACAAGTAAGTATATGATTTCGATATACTCACGGAGGAGAACACAAATCAACTTTCATCTTCCAAAATAGCCAAACGGATCCTGCTCAAAATTCGTGTCAAAGTCAACCACAACTCAATTTTTCCAACAATAATTTCTTCACTTGTAGTTAGGGGTGGGCATGGGTTGGGTTGGGTCGATTTTTATCTCAACCCAACCCAACATGATCTGTTTGATCAAAATTTAACCCAACATAATCCGTATAAAGGTTGAAACCCAACCCAACCCAACCCAATCCAACCCAATCAAATAACGGTCGGGTTGGGTTGGGTTAGTCGGTTTGTGACAACTTGTCACAAAAATTAAAGTCATCCAATTATCTATTATACTAAATTCGAATAGACAAGATTAACTAATAAGTAAATAAATAAATAAACAAAGAACAAAGTACATTTAACATAACATGGAAAAGTTATACTACATTACTTGTGAGAATGAGAGTAAACTTCTCCTGTAAAATGCACCAAGCTAATTAGAGTTACACTATCCACTTATACTTTTTAGGTTCATTTTACTTTTTAAGCATTTTATTTCTTTTCTTTTTCTTTTTTTGTTATAAGTAGGTGGGTTGGGTTGGGTTGGGTTTGGCGGGTTTATTCGATTTTCATGAGTTAACCCGACCCGATCCGACTACACAGGTAACCCACCCAACCCGTGTAAAAACAACAAAAAATCAACCCAATCCAATCAAGTTGGACGGTTTTGACGGGTTCGATCGAGTTTTGCTCACCCCTACTTGTAATGGATATTTATTACACGGTGCTAGAGAGCTGATCTTGAGCATGTGAAGGTAGGTGTCAATGCACCAAATGACTATTTGGTCTCCTTGTAGATTTTATTTCTGCAATTTTTGTTTTCTTGCACTATACGTTTTCTACAAAACTGGCTCATCCTCGATAAATTTGAGTTAAGCTACATGTATCATTTCTTAACGCTCCGTATAGATAAGGATTAATGTGCGACAAAATTTTACACATTCTTTTTCTGGGCGATTATATGAAATAGAAGTGGAGTTCACATGATCACAGATCATTGAGCGATAAAAACTATTATACCTTCACTTTCAAATAAAATAAATGAAATTCTGAAAATTCAATTTCCTCCTCACTCCAACTTCCATAGAATTTATTTGAAAATCAAATTTCCTCCCTCACTCCAACTCCCATAGACTCGTCACCACCCTCTTCCATTCACTGTCCATCTGTAGTCCATCTTCATATCTAGACCTGTGTTTGAATTGGGGCACGAGACTATAAGAGCGGATGGAGTTTTAATTCCCGCCCCACGTCTCGAAAATCCCTATGTAGGATAGGGGATCAGAAGGGCCGCCCCAGCCCTGTTGACGTCCCTAGGCATCGAGACCGGAGGTTTGGGGAAGAAAAATTATATTTTTTAATATAACATTTTTATTTCAAGAAAATTAGTGCATTTCTCAATCAGTACTTTAGTCGTGTATATTCTGGTTATAGATCATTAATCTACAAAACGCCCAAGTTTGAAGTCACCAAGAGCCACATAATTTGCATTTAAACATGTTCCTAAGAAACTTCTGCAATAATATTTGTAAAATTTTAAATTTAGTTAATGTATCAGTGAATTCTTAAAAAACGTTTCAGACTACTCAATCCTAGCTAACAATGGGC